CTCAACATTGCCAACAGCCTGTAAGTATCTATCTACCAGTACTGAAATTTACGGGGAAAAAGAGGAACTGACAGTTTTTAAGAGTATACATTTCTATTTCCTCTGGAAATAGACTTTTCTTTTTTAAAGTTGATAAAGGTCTAAAAAAGTATTCTGCACAACAGTCACAGACATTATAAAGCATTGTAAATGACCGTGTATATATATGTAAAGTATATACCTTATAGAATGTATGAATATAAATTTAAAACTGAAGCTTCCATAAATTTGTATTTTGTCAAAAAGAGGTCTCAACAAGTGGTTCTCGACTGTTTGGTAAGACGCATATTGCTAATAAGAGCTCATTTTTGAAAAATATTTTTATTCTAGTTCCTCTTGCTCCCTTAGCCCAGGTGACAGAAACGTAACAAAACTGTTATAAAAGTTCTACAACATTCTTAGATATTTCCCTCTCCTTCAGCTTACAGAGCCTAAACTAAGTATTCAGCATCATTGGGTAAAGCCACACAACTTATTACCTCATTTCAAATTTAAGCCAGTAACTCTTACATGACCATATGACAACAATTTTGCTTATGCCATGTAAGTTAAAAAAAAAAAAAAAAAAAAAAAAAATCAACTTTAGAAGGCACATGTATTTGCAAGCAAAGAAAATGGCTTCAAAAATCCTGCTTCAGAAATGTTGCTTCTCTTGAGAAACAGTATAAATTCTTCCCTATTCTGAGCATGGACTGCATCACTTCAGAAATGCAAAGAGAAACCAGAAGAAACATAGAACAAAGTCAAACACTTCTCCTCCATACATTTTTACTTCGTTTATTTCCATACAGTCCCAATTGTCTTCCTCTGTAATTACTCCTTTAAAGACTTCAAGTCCCTGCTGACATGACCTTGTCCTTGGATTGAGCGTCAGATATGAACACAGTGAACATAAGGGCTATGTTTTACTGCCTTTGTGCTCCCTCAGGAGCAGGAAAAGCCAAGAGGAAAAGAAATATGTTTTGAATCCTGTAGATGCCACACGGACAAAAGCATCTGGTTAAGTGGGGAGAAAGGAGTTTACTGAAAGAGTAAAGGGCTGGAGTTTGCCTCAAAAAGGAAATTCTCCCTTTATAAAAACAAAAAGTTCGTATCAGTAACAAAATACTTCTACATTTTCCCCCTAGGATGATTTGGAAGATGACACTGTTTATCAGAACAGATGAGCATGTGCAGCAGTTCAGACTTGTTCAAGATTTCTCCTGCAAGCAAATGGGCAGATGAAGAAGTTAAGCTTCTTCACAGACTTCCTTCGCTTTAGAAAGAGAACGCCTTGCAGGGCAGTGTTCATCAAGAGTATTTTCTAAACAGATCACCAAACCCAAATGCATTGTACATTACATCTATGTTATATATTACTTCCATTTTTCATTCTGCAAGAATAAGAACTGTGGGAAAAGACTTCATCTTTCGTAAGATAACTGCTAATGCTTCATAAAAGTTTCCTTTTTCAGTTTAGATTTAATTCTGTGTCTTTTTTCTTTTTACATAAATTTACATTTATTCCTTTTACATGAACTAAGCATTTGTGAGAGGTGTATGATAATTGACAGCAACAGAAAATAAACTCATTTCATAGGTGAAATTCTGGTTTTAGTGATGTTAATGTGATAGTTATTGATGTAACAGATATACAGACCAACACTTACTGAGTCTTAACAACAGCTTAAACAGAGGAAAACCTATGTATTCTGTAGACAGACAAGCAGAAAAACAAGACAACATAAATGCATGTACTGCCATGGTAAAGCTCTTTTGGGATGTGAGCTTCTTCCTAGCTTATTTAGGAAAGGAAAGTAGTGGTCATAGTGAGAAGGTCGCTCCTGCAAAATATTAAAATTCACTTGCTAGACAGACAACCCCCATTTCCAGTCCTACCATCCAAAGTCAGGATTACCTGGAGCTCCAAGTTTTGCTTTTGCATGACTGTTTAACATGGACACAAGCATGAACACAGAAGTATACTACCTAGTCAAGGTAGCATACTTTTTTTTTTAAAGTACCTAGTTTTATTTTAAGCAGTTACTACTAGCCATTCTACAAAATCAGCACTTTTACAAGAGATCTGCCAGTATCAGGCTTTCTCCCTACTAAAGAACAGCTACATCTTTTATCATCATTTAAATAAAGCAAGGCTTTGTTTAACAAATGAAACAGCTCTTCTTACATCAGTGAGATGAGAACTGACAACCAAGACAAAGCAAAGGTCCATCTAGAACAGCCTGCATTTCCAGTTCAATTTAGTACCAAGTATTTCACAAAGTTGGAAAACACACCTTTGTCTTTTTATCGCTGTCCTTCAATCACAAGGGCATCAATGCATTCAACAAGAAAATATCACAATCCCAGACTGTTAGTGTTTACTACTTCTGAAGTGTGGTGTCTCTAACATTTTTATCTTAGAGAAACTTAAACCAGTCTAGTCTTCTATTATCTAATAGTGCCTTTTTGTAAATATGATGTCCATATTAGCAAATACAAAGGATTTTTATACGAGCCTATGAGATACCTATTAAAAATATGAAGTTATAATAATACATGTTATTATGTCACTAGTCTAACTTTATGATTCATCTGGGTTACCTTCCAAATTCAGATATGCACATATTGTGCATTACTTGTTGTTCTGTATGTTGAAAACAAAACCCTGAAAAGCCCCAGAAAGAATTTATGGTTAAGCTACTTTGGACTCTAGGTGTCACTGTAATTCCAGAAACAGTAAGCACAGAAATGTATTTTTCCTCCTCCTCCACCTTGCTTTGTTCTCTTAAAGCAAGTTTTATGCTATTTGTGCAGACAGTGTAATAACTCAAATATCTTGGTTTGATTTAAATAATTTATCCGTTTCTAGAAACTGATCTATACACTGAACAAAAACCTTACCTGCCTCATCTCTTCTCCATTTGTTCCCCCCCTCAAATTCGAAAGTTTCTCTATGCAGATGCAAACTGTTTTTAATTAGCTGATACAAGAAGTTACTCGAGCTGTGAAATGTTCTTCTCTTTGCACGTTCCAAGATTTTTTTTTTTGTTAAATATAAAGCATATGTACACATCTAACACTTTTTAAAACTCATCCTCTTGTAGAACTGCTGAGTGAAAATACTGAAATTCTAGAATCATTTGTACATCATTAAGACAGGCTGGCAGTTCATTGTCTATTTCTTCAGTCTACAATTAAATAGATCTTAAGTGGGAAAGCTTCAGTGGAATGACAGTAACTTTTGTGTGTGCTAACTCGCATTGTCTAAAGAAGTTTATATAGGCCAATATCCATGATAGTGGTAAACCGACAAACTGAATATGTTTTTAAGTTTCAGAAGATATTAAGGAAACAAAACTGCCTTAAGCAAAGCGGCTAATCTGGAACAAGTCACCACTACAAACAAAAGCATGACTTTGGTTTACAAGACAACTTACAACAGATTTCAACTTTGAACAAATAGGAATGACAGAGTTCAACAATCATAGAACAGCTTTCCGGTCCTTTGGGATTTATAAATTTAACACTCTATCTGCCTCGCAGTATACTGTAGGAGATTAACGATGAAGGATATAGGTGGAGTTAGAGTAGTTTCTTCCTTAAGTTATCTACCTCCTTTTGAGCCAGGAAGTTGCATGTGGTCTGTCACGTGATAACCCAACAACATGCAGAAAAGTAGACGCTAGGTGCAAGAGCAATTGCAAAACACAATGGCACATAGTTTTGAAGACACACAAACAAAAGAGCCACCCAAATAATTTCTCAGTTTCTGCTTCTAATATGTCAATGAAAGACTAGAAAGACACTGCTGTTTTTCGGAATTTTGAAGAATTTTTAAAAGAGGAAGCCATATTTTTCCACATTATAGGAACAATAAGTCATAACCAAATATGCTTGAGATACTGTACAGATGCATAAGTCAACCCTCCACCTCATTTAGGACACACCACTTTTCAGGACAGTTACAAAATTGTATGCTCATATACTGTATTTCAAGCAAGTGTTCCTCTAATAGCATTATTTTTTATACTTAAAATGTTTTTTCCCCCTCCTCCCACCAAAATACCATTGGCATATAAAAAGAGGAAAACAGATTCAGTCTGCTGCATTTGTGACTGCCAGAACACTAAGGTTATTAGTTCCGTATTTTCTGGGTATACATGCCTTTCCACAGACAAACCTTAACACTCAAGAAAAGCCAGTATCCAAACAATGACTGACGAACACCAGCCTTCTGGAATTCAGATCACCTCTAGGGTGTCTCAACCTGAATCCACAATCACAGGCACGTGAAAAAAGGTTTCTAGTCTCTTTCGCAGTTTAGTCATAAGGACAGATTCATTTGAAAATCTCTCACCTATTTCTTTAAAATGCACCTAGGGGAAACAATGGAGTTTTGGCACTGAATTTTACCTTTTTATTCCACTTACAAATACAATATAAATAGTGGTTGATATTTTGTCTTAGAAGGGGTCTCTATTTTACTTTGAGAGCTCATGTTGGAAAACAAACATTACCTCCCTATGAATTTTTAGGTGCAGTTCATCTGGAACACTTGAAAGAGTTTGACGTGAATTGCTCTATTCAGCTTTACAGACAGTTCTAATGGTTTTGCTCAATGGTCGCCAGAGACAACTGGGGTTACCTATATGACAGCAGCAGAGGGCCCTAATGAGAGATCAGTTTTCCCATGTTGCTCCAACACAGCTCAGATGTGGCAACCTGCAGAACAGGATATGTGACTTCAATATTTGAGCTTTTTGTTGGTGCCAGCAATGTGTGTTGGGGAATTAAGAAAACAGCTTACAACACGTGGCCTACTTACTGATGATTTCATACTTCTGAATATGCACTGTACGAGTTATTTGTAAAAATCAAATACAAACATGCCAATTATTTATTAAACATTTAATTTGGGATACTATAACCTACAAACGTTTTCTTTACCTGCCTAAATAGCTATTAATCTGTGTACTTACCATTTTCCACATATGGATGAAATGGCAGAACTAATGCTAGAATGACTCTGCCTCTAGTTGGCTCCAGTACACTTCTAATATCTTTTAACACAGTCAGTGGTTGATCACAGCGATCCAGCAAATTTAAACAGCTGATAACATCATACTGAAATCCTGTGTTTTGCCATTCATTTATACCAAGCACCCTACAAAAGGAAAGAGAGATACAGTCTGTTAAACAAACACAAGCTGAGTTCAGAGAGAACCACTGAAGACAAGAATTCCCTACAGATGTGTAGAGAGTGCAGGTAAGGTCAGCCACCCAGGCAATGAGAAGACAGACATGATCCTTCTGGTCTTTCGGAAAACAAAACTAAATCAACAATGGGCATGGCTACATATCCAGCCATACAAACCTTTCTATTGCCTTATTATCATCAGGCAACAAAGGAGACAAAAACCAAACCCCCAGGTATGAAAAAAAAAAAAAAAGTGTTGTCCTAGAATAAAACTGAAAATATTTCTCAAGGAACAACAAAGCTGAAACACAATTAATGGCTTGCCGCGTTTTATCCACTCTGATTTACCACTGTGCAAACCCAAATTCCAAAGCAGTTGTTATGTTTCCACTCAAAGACAGGTGAAGAAAAGAAATCCACAGTTCCTTCATTCTTTGGCCTGAAATACTAACCGTTCTTCAACAAGACTGGATCTGCTGCCTGCAAGAACCTCCAGGAGCTGTGGCAAGTGCATGAACAAAGTTCTGAAAGCGCTGAGGTTTTTGTTACTAAATTTTACTCAATCTTAACAGCAGGAGCTAAGCATAGCAAGAATAAAAAGAATCTTCAGACAGTTGTCCATACTGTGGGATTCCATAGACACAGATTATTGAGGTACCCCTATTACCAGGATTCAGTTTGCTTTCTCTGCAGTACCTGTGTTTTCCTCTTGCAATTTTGGACTGTTCAGTTAGACTGTTCAGCTGAATTTCATCTTCCTGGCTCCCTTGATTAAAGCAATTTATGCAAACTATGAAGAACGAGACTTCAAAAAGGTTGTTGCCTATTTTCGCTAAACTGGTAACAGGGAACATCCACCCAACAAAAGCACTGCTGACAGGGAACATCAGATGTGGTTGTTCTGCTGCTTCTGTACAGAGCAACCTTTTCCACAACAATAAAACAATAGAGGAATTGACTGAAAATACTGAACATTTAATAAATATTACAAATAGATTACTTTGCCGTAATATCTGATACAAAGGATGTAGGAAGTATACAGTACAATACCTGTATTTTTTCTTCTGAAGCTGCCATATCATAGTTTCAGACAATTCAGTGGCATAGATTTCTTCAAAGTGAGGACTCATGACTTTAGTGACTTCTCCATCCCCAGCCCCTAAATCGAGAAGTCTGTGGGATTTCCATTCTGGATTTATTTTAAGCAGTCTTTGAAATTGTTCTGGGGAAAACACAAACATTGAGCCCCTTCCCAGCAGCCTGAAATGTAAAAATGAGAAATGACCAATTTTGTACAAATTTTAACAGGAAGGACAATGAAGTAACCTAGAATGTGCTTTGGCAGCAACCAGACACACATAATAGTAGAAAGGGCCCCGCTTGGATAAATTTTAAATCTGGTTCAACTTGCCTTGCACTTGTCAGAGATCAAACACATAGCCACATGCAGTTACAGTGGTTAAGACTTCAGGAGGAATTTGATTAGGTAAGGAAGAGTTCACGGGATGCAGCTCAAGAAAATGATCACATTAAAAAAAGAAAAAGGAGGGGGGGAGAGAAAGAGAGGCAACGATAAAGGCTGAACCTTATTTGGCATATTTGCAGATATGAATCTCTGCCACCTACCTTAAAAAAAAAAAAGAAATAGCAGATAAAATGGCAGCAGACATAGAAGTATGCACAATGAATGAGGAATAGGATGTCGAACTAGGAGGGAAGCCAGGGAACAGATTTAAAGAAAGGATGTGGGTAACACTGCTGGAGTGGCAAAAGAAATTTTTTTAATTGTATGTTACAATGGCTTTTCCTGCTATCTGCAGATCCTGCATTCAATATGAAGAGCTGTGGATAGAAAATAGGCAACTCATTAAGGAATTGGGTAGAGGTGACAGTTGGATTCCTTATGGATCAAGTCAATGACATACCCACCCGTAACTGTTTGAAGACTACATAGTGACAGACTTCAGCTGTCATAGCAGAATTCAGAAGATGAAAGAGTTAGGAGAACAAGCAGAGGAAAAAGAACTGGTCAGCAATAGACTGAAGGTAGATAAATATTATTCTTTAAACTAATGGTGGATAGCAGGTTAAACTTCTAGACAATGAACAGAAATCTTTTATATTCAAGTGGAAGACAAGGTAAACAAAGATGAAAAGAATCAAAGAATAAAAAAAATGTGAAAAGGAGGCAGCCTAGGAAAGACTGATTGCACTAAAAACCAAAGAAACAAACAAACAAAAAAGATACAGTATACAAAGTCACATAGAAGAAACTAAAGCAGGATATTAAATGTATGAAAATAAAAAGAAAACAGCCAATTCAAACAGAACTCCCTTTCAGCCACTTGTGTCAGTCCACACTGCATAATTGGCTCACAGTTATTATTCCTAACAGCACTATGAGGTGTTATTCAAAGCACTGGAGAGCCTTTGAAAAAAATGGAAGAGAAAGGAAGAGGAGACCAAAGGAACCTTTATATAAAGCTACAAGTAACTAAGACCACCACAGGGAAGCTCATAAAGTCACCTGGTTAGAAAATAGGGAAAAAGATATTTTTCTAGCCTTAGTAGACAGCTACTATCCTTGTATCAGACTGTGCAGAAGTATGTAGTAGGTGCACAGGTGGGGATGGTGGAGAAATTGGGTAAATGTAACAAAATACATTCTTTATAAGGTCAAAACTGATAAGCTGTTAAACATATGTGTGAATGAGGTGATGTGAGCAAAAAAAGGCACCAACTTTTTTTTAAAAAAATACTAAAGCACCCACGAACAGCTAAAGTCCCCTGCCGCCACAGAAGAGACTGATGCAGTAAGACTAGGGGAGTACTGTTTTATAAACTTCTCTTTTCCTGCCTTTCTGATGTTTCATCAGTCAAATATGCTACATCAGGAGTTACCTGTTCAAGTACAGCTTACACACAAATTGAGGTGAAATTAAGTTTTACAGAATAAGAGAAAGGACAGAATTCTGTTCCATATTAGTGTTACAAGACACAACACTCAGCCAACCTCTGCGCTGTTTAGAAATCTGCCTAGGTTTGCAGTGGGTGTGCACACACTCTTTAGTAGAAAGAGTTTTAGATGCAATACAGAACTGACTGGATACAGCCACCAGGGGAAGGGGTGAGGAAGAAAGCAGAGGGAAGAGAGGTACATTGTCTAATACAAAGAGAACACTCTTATTCGGAAGGAAATTAATAAAGTAATGGCTATAAAATACAATTAGAATCCCCTGGCTGTCTCTTATTAATCGCAATTACCTCCTCTGTCCCCCCATACTGGAAACGGTGTTCCTCAGTTAAGAGGGATGGGCGTGAAGAGGACAGTAGGGCATTTCAGATCTGTTAGACTGGCAAAGGGAAAACTATAAATTTAAGAAAAGCTGACAGATCAAGGGGTAGGGCTGTACACTAAATCCAAACTGTATTTAGTTTACCTAAGATTGACTTTTTACTTACCCATTGATAGATGTTCTAGACATAAAGAGGCTAAAAATTGAGGACACAAAAGAGTGATAGAGCTGGATAAACAGCCAGCCTGATTTCTCAATGCTGTTGTTTAAGAAGATCTGTGTTCCTTGGTCAAGGTAACTCTGGACAAAAATAGGCTGAAGGGATTCAGACAACTGTTCTGTGTTGCAGACATACCACTAGAGAAACAGATAAAGGATCATTAAAAAGTTCAGCAATATAAAACCAGAAGTCGTTAAAACAAATTGAATACATGTAAGGCTATTACCAATTTCCATAACGAAAAAAAATTTAGTTTTTCCTACAGACTTTTCAACAAGCTTCAGTATTAATTTAATTTAGATTTGAATTGTAATCCAGTGAGGACTGATTACTTGCTAAGAAATAATGCATTTAATTTTTGTCTTAATTATTACCCTGTACATTGAAGAATTCTACAAAGTAAATTCCCTAGAAAGCAAATACAGGTCCTCTATGGAACAGCACCACGCTGATAAAATAGTATGAGGTGGGATAACATTGCTTTCTGTCTTCCAACTCATTCTCAACTTTTCCCTAGGCATCCTCTGAAAAGAAATCAGCAAGTGCATTTGCAGTATTTTTCCAGAAAAGGAGATAAAGAATCCAATCAATACTCTCAGCAACAGCTTGTCTGCCTTACAGCATTGCTGGACTATGTTTCATCACTTACCAGTACCAACAAGCAGGTCCACAAGCCTTTCAAAACAATTGTGCCTATGAAGCTGCCTCCCAGCACCTCTACTAAACAAAGGAAGTCGCCAGTATCAGCTGAAAGGCAGTTCCATACTTTTATATTGGTAAAATACAAAGCCCAAGCTAAAATTGGCCGATTATTCCTTTCACCTTGTGTTCGCTGGTAACAACCACTCCTATACAAACTGAACTAACTCTGATAATCAACCTATTGCTCAATTAACTATGAAGAAAAAGAATGCTACTTCTTGATATCAAATCTAGCTGGAAAAGTAATAAACCATACAATATCATACTATTTTACTATCCACATGTAAGGCATATCTAAACTACTTCCTTAACACCTGCTTTACATAATTTTAAATGCAAAACACTTGTGCAAAACAAGACAAACCTATAGAAATTCTGAAATTTTAGGACCTTCATGGCCACCTTCTGCACCTCCAGCAAACGCCTCTAATACTGCAGCATTCTGGAATGTCAGCACTGATAACAAAATTCAAAAGGTTGCTCATTGTTAGGTTGCACTGCCAAGCCAAAAACTGCCTCCATTCAGTATGCACAATTTATTAAAAACAGTTTTAAATGTAACTTTAATTAAGAATGTCACTATTATTTTTCATTCTTCCACGCTTATGCAGAGATATTGTCAGCCCTTCTCACAGACTCTCTATTGCCATTGTTTCTGTTTTCTAATATCAAGAATTATTCCCTACAGCTAACACTTACCTCCCCCCTAGATCTTGCAATAGTGTTCCCTAATCTGGCTGCATGTGTTTATTGCACAGATAGGGAGTTACAACTATCATAAAGAGAAACGGAGAGTTTTAACAGAATCTTGTAAAAACACATGTAGCGGGAGAGCGAACGGTCAGCTGGGTCAGCGAATGGTCAGCAAACTCGCCCATGACTTAACACCTAAGATTGTGTCTATACCCACACTATGCAAAATGTATGCTCATATCCTGATCCCTTCATGTTTGTTGCCCTTGCTGGGACAGGAATAATCACTTAATGTCTCTCTACACATTGTTCAGCACAATGGGACTTCCAGTCACTACTGTAATACAAATAATAATGGGACAGAATTCTTACTGCAGTGTCCTGCTGCTTCACAATAACAGTGCCAGCAAGCAGGGGGGAGTAGACAGCTGCACCAAGATCATTATGCCAGATTCATAAACAGGGGCTCCATCAACACTGACCCAAAGTACAAGGGATGTCAACACCCTTCAGCCGAGAAGCAAACATATGCCTGCTTAGGTTTACTTTGAAAACCACTTGCATAATGGGCACATTTCTGGCAGAATCAGCCTCTCAACTGTACTTTCAAACACACTTGTAGGTAGCACAAGTGATCCTTTCCCCTAAAAAACAAATGTTGAGCAAGGCTGCACCACATGATGAAGCCTGGCACAGTGATCCCCAAGAGCGATGATTTACCAGTTTAGGTCTTTTCTTACTGCAGCGCAGTGCTACTTGAATGAATCGGCATAGACCAGTGATTCCCAGGAGGAATCCTTAGTGAATAATGAAAAACCACTAAAGCAGCAGTCTGCGTACTTTGTCCATCTTCAGAAGCCAATTTGAAGAGCCTGGCAGAAGCAAGCAATCCCATAGAGCTGAGGAGCAGGCTGGGATATGTGTCAGGTTCACTCACGAGGCTGCTGCCTTGCTACACTGGACAGGTTTGCAGTGGCTCAGACGATTTGCCTTTTCCAATGTGTTGCCAGCTTCAATCCAGAAGAAAACGTATCCAACTATCAAAGCTCTGGGAAACACAGGCTTTGTTCCTTATGCGCTATGAGTACGTATGTGCTGTACCTGAGCTCCTAAACCTTGGTTCTGCACTGAACTGTCACCTGTAGTTTCAAGATCTGACCATGGAAACCAACAGTCCTACAATTCCTGTCTTTAAGACTTCTAAATATTGATATATATTGACATAACTGTTGAAAGAACAATGATGGTGACAACTGTGAGAAGAGAAGCTTGTTTTCAGAAATCAGGCTTTATACTCAGACCTCCTCTAATTTCTTCTTCATGGTTAATCTTGCCAGTAAGGTTATTGACAGCTATCTTTATAACACTAGTCAATAATAGAAATGATAGCAAACTATAAGAAGAAGAAAAAAAAAAGCAACACAAGATAAACCAAATCCAAATTTCAAATACCAAAAGTGGTGAAAGACAGCTTAATTCTGGAACCCCTTTCTCAGAACAGAAACTGCTTTTGTTTTCCTCCACATACAATATATGAAGAGCCCTTTTCAGGCCACTAGTTTCATGACAGAAAGTGTATCAATCTCTTATAACACAACAGTAGAAAAGCTACAGTACAAAAATCTGAAAAGATATGTTAAGACCTTTGTTATAATACAAGTTATTATTATTGACAACTTTTGCCTATTATTAGCGAAAGGAAGAAAATGTTCTTTTAGCTAACTTACGAAAAACTAATGAAGTCAGTAAAAATGCAGAGTGAAAGCAGCTGGGGCCTCAATGTGCAATCCTTACTTGCAAGTAGACCCACAAACTCAGTAATCATAAATCTTAGTAAACTCACTAAATAATCAATGCTTTAGGTTTAAAATCTAGGTCCAATAAGTTAGAAATGAAGAGTATCCACTGCAGACCATCCACCTCCGAATGACATAATCACCTTCGCAACACATCTCCTTGGCTGACTTGTCTTTCTAGTAAGTTTTTAACACCACAAAAGACTTTCAGATTTTCTTTGTTCGCCAGAAGGAAGTTCTTTCTGTAAATCTAAATTCTGCTTCTCTGTCATCCTATTTATGTACTGAATGATCCAAACAGCAGAACATATTCATTAAACCCCAGTAATCCATTCACTCAGTAGCAAGATGCTGGGTTGTCAGTGCCCACCCAGAGCACTGCAGAAATGGATCAGCTTGAAGAATTATGATGCATAATTATGTTCTTCCTTTGTATGGCAGTCCTCAAGCATTTATGGTACGTCTTCTTCATTAGCTCGGCTCTGTATATTTTACTTAGAATAAGTCAGTATCGTCTTTCAGCACCAAGAGTCTTTATTAGCCCTTCTGAACTCCTGTCAGATTTTCAGTGGCGTTTTGGTAAAATGTAGTGCAGATCTGAACATATTCCAAACACAACCATATCACACAAGCACCGTATAGCAAGGGTATAGTCCCTAAGTCCTCCGCAAAGTACTGATCCACGTGCCTACGCTGCCCAAATACAGGCTCTTATTGCAGCCACATCATATTGCAAACTCATTTCTAGTTTGCCATCTACTGCTGTTCCAAGGCCTCTGTGAGCTTAACAGTTTCCCAGGTTTTTTTCCACCGTCCCTCACTTTTTCTTTTCCTCTAGACACACCAGTATTCATCAGATCATCTCTGGGATTACAAACCAACCCGGTTCAACACCACCTGCAGACTTCATTCACCGAGCTCACCCGGAAAATCGCCAGGCGAAGGTCTGCGTCTCCCGGGAGCAGCCCTGACACCCAGCCCGACGCGACACCAGCC